TAAATTCTCATCCCTGTCCTACCTCTCACCTCTGGCTAAGGTCAGTGACAACAGCAGCAGAACCTGAAGCCAGGATGAGGTCAGTCTACTTTTTAAAATATTGCTCTATATACACTTAAAAATAACTATTTCAGTGAAATGCTCCCCCTATGGTACACTCCCCCCCACGCAAAATTGGCATTTGTCAACAATGTGAACAAAAATCAAAATGAATTTGATGTAGCCCAAACCATCTTGAAAATAAAAAATCTCTAACTTGTTTTGGGTGATTGCAAGTGAATGACAGGAAAATTATTTTTAACTTTTCTGAATTCTACTAAGACTACAAGAAAAGCTTGAGACGAGATGCAGCATTTAAAAGTTTTAGAGACACGGGTTTCTTTTTGCACTCTTTTGGAGAAAAGATTTAAAGTCAGATTTATAGCAAGAAGCTAGTTTCAACCTTAACTCTAGGGAGGCTACCACCATTCCATAAGAAGTTGTCCTGCACTGTAGCATATAGTTCATAAAACTTCATACTTAGCCTCTTCTCATCTATGCCAATGTAGATTCTGAAAGCTGCTCTGGGCAGTTGCACTTTGAAAACAGAAATGTCTGCCCACAACCCCTGTAAGTGTTAGTAAGCCTTTATGGTCAAACAATGACATCATAAAAGCCAGCTCAAAGGATGCCTGCAGACTTAAACTTTATTGGTTGCATTGTGTAAATACTAATAGCCATACAAGCAGCCTTTCAGACCTAGATTTCACAAAGCACATGCTTATCTTTTAAGTATATAAGCAGCCCCGCAGAAATCAATAGGGCTACGCACATGCTTAAAGTTAAGCATGTGCTTAAGAACTCTGCTAAACGTAGCAGGCCCCAGATTTTTATTCTAAGAATGTCTGCATCCTATTGTTCCCTCTAATGCTTTATAGCAGCATGTGAGGATAGCACATACTATAGTTTAAGACAGTGGCTCTCAACCTCTCCAGACTACTGTACCCTTCAAGAGTCTGATTTGTCTTGCATAACCCAAATTTCACCTCACTTAAAAATTACTTGCTTACAAAATACAAAAGTGTCACAGCACACTATTACTGAAAAATTGCTTTCTTTCTCATTTTTACCATATAATTATAAAATAAATCAATTGGAATATAAATAGTGTACTTACATTTCAGTGTACAGTATATAGAGCAGTATAAACAAGTCATTGTCTGTACGAAATTTTAGTTTGTACTGACTTACTAGTGCTTTTTACAAAGCCTGTTGTAAACCTAGGCAAATATCTAGATGAGTTGATTACCTCCGGAATACCTCTGCGTACCCTGGTTAAGAACCACTGGTTTAAGATACCAGAAATAAGTGAATTAGAATGGGTATTTGTTACTTAATAAAACTAATTCTTTTCAGGTTGAAATTTTCCAAGTTTTCCCTCAGCTTGGAGGTGATTTTTTTTTTGAGGATTTGGAGAAAATATTTATTCACCCACAATTAAGCAGATATGCATATATAAACACACACTTTTCCCTATGCTGCAATCAGAAATGTCGTACCTGGATATGAGTGCGTTAATGCACTTCTTAGTTATAGATGACCTCATAAAAAGGCTACATCTAGCAATCTGAAATCAGACATGCTGCCTGATCTTGCTAATCTCTATCCAAGATACACACAGTCACCTACATTAGATAGCCATTATACACAATCATCAGCACAGCAAAAGCAATTAAGAGCGATCCAAACATGGAGAACTTAGAAGTCTGACACAGAACCTAGCGCAGGACTATTGTTTTAATCTGCTTCTGTCACATCCTGCAACACCCACTCCCACCCGCATTGTTTGTTGAATTTTTACCCCCCCATTATGGGGGCCGGTTCTCAGAGATCTACTGGATCCCAGTCTCACTGCAGGGCTCTAATCCGACACAGTTAGGAATTCTAAACTGTAGCTAAGAAATATGCCCACTGAAAAGAAGTTAAAGATGGAAGGGACCTGGAATTTATTTAAGAGAGTTCCCAGTTACCTGCATTGATTTGATGGAAACAGACTTTTTTGTCTATGCTGTTGGATGCTATCATAATGTGAAGCTATTTTGTGTAGAATATACATTACGCACCTGGCTTTTTGCCAGTGTATCCCAGACACTCATAGAAAGAGCAATAAGACCTTACTTTCAGGGGGAAAAAAAGTTAGAAATGGAAGTGACAGATTAGGTCATCCAGTCCCTTCCACCCAACAACCCAAGGGCCAGCGTAACAGCGTTTTATGCCCCAGTGCAGAATACTCAGAGCGAAGCCAGTCCTGAGTGGGATGTGCATGATCTCTCCCATCAGTAAGGACCCTACCAAATTCACAGTCATGAAAAATGCATCATGGACCATGAAATCTGGTCTCCTCCCATGAAATCTGATCTTTTGTGTGCTTTTACCCTATACTCCACAGATTTCATGGGGGGAGACCTGTGTTCCTTTTGGGTCAGGACCCCCAATTTGAGAGAGTTGCAGGGGAATCGCAAGGAGGGGTCACAGTATTGCCACCCTTACTTCTGTGCTGCCCTCAGAGCTGGGCAGCCAGAAAGTGGCAGATGTTGGCCAGGTGCCCAGCTCTGAAGGCAGCACCCCACAAGCAACAGCGCAGAAGTAAGGGTAGCAGTACCGCAACTCGCCCCACAATAACCTGGCAACCCCCAACAACTTCTTTTTGGGGCAGGATCTCTACAATTACAACACCGTGAAATTTCAGATTTAAATATCTGAAATCATTTACAATTTTTAAAATCCTCTGAGTGTGAAATTGACCAAAATGAATCGTGAATTAGATATGCCATAACAGCAGTTGTCCACTCAGAGAAACTACGGATTTAGATTTTGTCATCAGTTTTTCATGTTGTTATTAATATAGCTCAGGGCAACCGATGGCACGCGAGCCGATTTTAATGGCACACTGCTGCCTGCTGGGTTCCAGCCACCAGCCCCGCTCAGCCCGCTGCCGAACCCAGGCCAGGACCCCGGCAGGCAGCAGTGTGCCATTAAAAATCCTGCCAGCCCTGGCCCGCTCCCCCCTCTCCCCAGGGGAAGGATGAAGAAGCTTGGTCCTGCCGGCTGCTGCTGCAGGGCAGGCAAGCTCTCCCCTCCCCCGCCTCTTCCCCCAGCATGCTTCGTTCCTACCCATCCTCCTCCCCTCCCTGCTACCGATCAGCTGATAGCCCTTATGGGGGGGGGGGGGGGGAGAAGAGGAGGTGCAGTGCGCTCACTGCTCCGGGGAGGAGCCGGAGACGAGGTGGGGATGGGGTCTTGGGGAAGGGGGGTGGAATCAGGGCATATCCCTTCCAGCCCCCTGCCCCGATCCCTGCCCCCCCCACACACACCCCAGCCCCCTGCCCCGATCCCTGCCCCCCCCACACACACCCCAGCCCCCTGCCCCGATCCCTGCCCCCCACACACACACCCCAGCCCCCTGCCCCGATCCCTGCCCCCCACACACACCCCAGCCCCCTCCCCGATCCCTCCCCCCCACCCCCCCCCCCTCCCCATCCCTCCCCCCACACACACCCCCCCCCCTCCCCTCCCTCCCCCCCACACCCCCCCCCCCCCCATCCCCCCCCCCCCACCCCCCCCCCTCCCCATCCCTCCCCCCCCCACACACCCCAGCCCCCTCCCCCGATCCCTCCCCCCACACACACCCCAGCCCCCTGCCCCGATCCCTCCCCCCCACACACCCCCAGCCCCCTCCCCGATCCCTCCCCCCCACACACCCCCAGCCCCCTGCCCCGATCCCTGCACCCCCCTCACACACACCCCAACCCTCTGCCCTGATCCCTGCACCTTACATCCCTCCCACACCTCAGCCCCCTGCCCTGAGCCCTGCACCCCGCTCACACACACCCAGCCCTCTGCCCTGACCCCTGCACGACCACAGCCCTGACTCCAGTACTCCCCACACTCATGCCCTGACTCTTGCACCCCCCCACATTCCCACCCCCACCCTGAACACCAAACAGGAGCTCCTGCACCCTCCCACGTTCCCACCTGCACGCCTCACACCAAATGGGAGCAGCCCAGGTAAGCACTCCACACCCAAACCTCTTGCCCCAACCTTGAACCCCCTCCCTCATTCTAGCTCCTGGCCAGACCCTGCACCCCAACCCCCAGCCTGCTCCTTCACCCCCAGCCCTGTGCTCAGTGCACTCCCACCCTCAGCTCAGTGCAGAGAGAGAGATGGGAAGAGAGTGGGCTAGAACCAGAGAGAAGGTAGATACCTACTCTAAGTGGGCAGGACCGGGATTCCAGACCAGCAGCGGGCTGAGAGGGGCCGGCAGCCAGAACACTGGCTGACAGGAACCGGTGGACTGAACCCCAGACTGGCAGCGGGCTGAGCCGCTCAGCCCACTGCCAGTCTGGGGTCCCGGCCGCCGGCACCGCTCAGTCTGCTGCCAGCCTAGGTGAACGGAACCCTAGGCTGGCAGCGGGCTGGCAGCAGCAGATCAGCATTTTAATTTAATTTTCAATGAAGCTTCTTAAACATTTTGAAAATCTTGTTTACTTTACATACGACAATAGTTTAGTTATATGAGAGAGAGACCCTCTAAAAAACTTTAAAATGTATTATTGATACGCAAAACCTTAAATTAAAGTGAATAAATGAAGACTCGGCACACCACTTCTGAAAGGTTGCCGACCCCTGATATAGCTAAAAGCCATCACTAAATCACACTTGATTTAAGACAAGTGGCTGGCAGTTTTAAGATCTACATTTAATCAAACTTTTTGGGGTAAAAAAATATGACAGCTTGTAGCATTTTCCCAAATATCTTAACAGGGTGGAGAAATTAATGGTGTGGAAACAAGAATACCAGTAACAAACTATTTTTTAAAGTCTTTCCAGCACCATTTTAATTGCTATATTAAATACCCATCTGAGAACAGCAGTCAATGCAGCAGTGGACTAGACTGACAGAGCCCACGAACATCGGGCTAAAGAGAAGGGAAAGCTGCTGAATGGGCAATATACTCACAGGAGTTGTGTCTACGACGGAAACCTTTGGACTGATTCACAGATTCCAAATGTCGGTCCATGTAGCTCTTAGAGCACTGTTGCTGTTGTGGGGAGATGACAACTTCCTGATTTTTCATGTCCGTTCTCCTTGGGATAGCCTGGGGGGCACTGCTGGAAGAGGTAGGCTTCTTTAGCAATTTGCCAGTGCCGTTTTGATTGGTACCCACTTGGCACCCAACGCCAGGAATGCCCAGTTTGGTATGCTGCAGGTCCCCACTCTGTTTGCTGTCCCCAGGACCTGGGATCTGCAGAATCTTTAGCTCAGTAATATCACCTGCCCTAAAGACAGGAAAGAGAACAAAACAAAGTGGGATTCAACATTGGCACCCAGCTCTACAGAAATCAAGCCCCTAGTATGTTAGAGACTAAAGCAGCATCAGAATGACATTTTTCTCTTAATTCACTGGAATCCAAGGGGGAAAAAACCCACTAACATGGATTACAGTGCCTATTAGGAACACACACACTTAAAGGCTATGTTCCTCAGACAGTACATCTGACTCTTCTGGTCCTGGAGAGAACTGAACCCCAAATAGCAATTTATCCCACTGGCTCTGTACCTAGTCAGAAGTGTGGGGGGAAATGGTTGGGTAGAAATCTGCTTGAGTTAATAGATTCTAGAAGAGTATAGGTGCTATGACTAATCTTATTTTTCAGGTGACTTCCCTTTACCATAGTCTGTTTCTATTGAGAGCAATCGCTAAAATAGCGAAACTCAGAGAGATGGCACTTAAAAGCTCCTTTGAAGGTCATGAAAACTACAGTGCAGTACTGGAAATAATCCACACTTTCATGTAATAAAGGAGTGGGTGCAAGCTGTAAACTAGTCACTCTGGAAAGAGTGGTTATAAGATACAGTCTTTGACTTTAGATTTATGAAGAATAATCAAACTTCAGAATGAATCTATTATACTGGGATATAAAAATAATGTTGTTACCAAGACTGAATGTGTCATGGACCTCAATACCTTTATCAGCATTACATGAATCCTTCCTTCTCTATTTCTCCCCCTCTGCCCTTTGTTTCAACTCTCTAAGGCCTGGTCTACACTGGGGGTGGGATCAATCTAAGTTACACAACTTCAGCTATATGAATAACGTAGCTGAAGTCAACATACTTAATCTACTTATCGCGGCGTCTTCACTGCGGTAAGTCGATGCCTGACACTCTCCCGTTGACTCCGCCTGAGCCTCTCGCGTACCAGGGTCGACAGGAGAGCGCTCGGCGGTCGATTTATTGCATCTAGTCTAGACTAGACACGATAAATCAACACCTGCTGGATCGATAGCTGCCCGTTGATCCAGCGAATAATGTAGACAAGCCCTAAGGAAGAGAGACTCCCTAAGGTAGCTATTTAACCTTTGTTTAGTAATAAAATAGTTAAATCTGTGTATTTGTGGAAATCATTTAAATCTGTGTATTAACTTTGCCAATTTGCACTGATAATAGAAAAAAATATTTGGTGACTAATCTTTACTCTTCTCCAATAACGTAACAGGGGAGTTGGGGGCAGAGCTGGAGGGCAGCTAATTTAGTACTAGAACAGCAATACTAACAAGCCTACTGCTGTGTAGGAAGTTTCGGATGCTGTTGGTATGTGTCTCCAAGGCCAATCTGCACCAATTGGCTTCAGAATTATAGAACAAGATTATTATGCCAAAGAGAAAAGAGATCTTGCCAGACGAATATCAAGAGCTATCTAGATGGAGGAAAAGAAAGTGGCAGAAGATAAGACAGATCTGAAGATAAATATGCAGTTGGAGCCATAAAACAGATTTATTCAGGGCAAGGATCTAATTTAAATGATTAACAGCTCCACTTTCACTTCAATCATGCTTTAGCAAACACAAACATTAAACTTGCCATTGGCAAAAATTCCTGCCAAATGTCTGATCTAACCGTAAACTGGATGACAGGTAATACACAGTGACCATTTTCTTTGCTCCTACCAATGTGTTCCAATTGTGATCAACATCTGTGTTCACATCGTAACCCAGACAAAAAAAAGCCCAAAAGACAGCATCTCTTGCTTTCTGTATAGAGCCTAACAATAGAGGCACTTTACAGCCAAGGATAAGCAGTAATGAGGTTTGAAGCAAAATGCTCCAATTTCAGTCATATGTAAAGTTTGCCTGGAAGAAGCAGACACTTACCTGAAGGTGACCTCTGGCACAAGGCACTTGACCCCATTATGGAAAGGCCGCGTCAGGGAGATGGTCTGGCTGATCTGATCCACAGCTGACACTCGTCCCTGATAGACTCCCAGGCTGTCTCCACAGTTAATGGACACAATGCTTCCAAGCCAGTCTGTAGCCATATTTCTGACACGTGATCACTGTAAAATGAAGACAGGATTAGGTGGAAAAAAAGAAATCAGGAGATTGACAAACCTAATTAGCATCAGCTATATCCCCCCATGCCATGGTCCTAGACCACATCTTAGGCCCTTACTTTGGTGGCCTGTCTTTTCATAGTGGGACAGGGATAATACCTATACGTACTTTAAGATCCTATTTAGATTGTAAGACCCTTTAAAAAGAGACCATGCCTGTAGGCTTGTTTGTAAAGAACCTAGCACAGTTTTGTTGCTACATAAATAATACTTGCTAAAACTTAGTCTCACACAACCAGATTCCATATAATGTTGTAATCTAAAAAACACCAGTAATTTTCTGTAACGCATTCCAACCCTAACTACTTTTCCAGGGGTATTCTGGTTAAATTCCAGTTCAAGAATCTAGCTCCGCCAGCCTACATTCTCCCTGGAGCTTCAGTCACATAAGTTTGTCTTCACTTCCCATTCTAAACACTTGAGTAGTGATAGTGGAACAGAAGGATGGAGCTATAGCTATATAGGGTAAAATCCTGACCTCACTAAAGCCAGAATTTCACCCATAAAATACTATTATCAATCCTACAATTAGCTAATTGATAAGTTTTAACATAAAACAAAGTTCAAAAGTAACTACTAAGTTACTTTGTTTGACAGTTACTGCATATATTTCAAAGGGTAAACATTCCCATAAATACATACTGTGTGTTTATTTAAACACTTGATCCATGAGTCTCCCCTCAATTCATAATTCTAGAGTCTCAGGGAAGTGCAACTTTCAATCAACACATTGAAGTAACTGTGCATGCCTTTCCATGTGTAGAGATGTGAGACCCCTAACCTCCAGCTGAGTTACCTGAAGTCTTTAAATCATGATTTAAAGTCTTCAAGTAACAGAATCTGCCATTTACACTAGTTTAAACCTGCAAAGTGACCTGCCCAATGCTGCAGAGGCAAAACCCCCCAGGGTCTCTGACAATCTAACCTGGGGGAAGATTCCTTCCCGACCCCAAATATGGTGATTCGTTGGACCCTGAGCATCTGGGCAAAACCCACCAGCCAGACACCTGGGAAAGAATTCTCTGAAGTAACTCAGAGCCCTCCCTATCTAGCATCCCATCACTGGCCATTGCAGATATTTGTTGCTAGCAGTTGCAGATCAGTTACATGCCATTGTAGGCAGTCCCATCATACCATCTCCCCTCCTCCCCCCCATAAACTTATCACGCTCAGTCTTGAAGTGAATTAGGTTTTTTACCCCCACTGCTCCCCTTGGAAGACTGTCCCAAAACTTCACTCCTCTGATCGTTAGAAACCTTCGCCTAATTTCAAGGCTAAACTTAGAATCACATAAATAATTAAGGCCCCAAACATCTATCCAACCCCTCTGCAGACCAATTCCCATTAAATCATCCCACCAGGCTTTTCAGCCTGACCTTAAAACCTCTAAGGAAGGAGATTCTACCACCTCCTAGGTAACATTCCAGTGTTTCACCACCCTCTTAGTGAAAATTTTCCTAATATCCAATCTAAACCTCCCCCACTCACTTAGACATTACTCCTCGTTCTGTCATCTGATACCATTGAGAACATCTAGACCATCCTCTTTGAACCCCCTTTCATATTGAAACTATCAAATCCCCCTCATTCTTCTCTTCTCAGGCTAAACAATCCCACTCCCTCACCTCTCCTCATAACTCATTTTCCAGACCCCTAATCATTTTTGTTCCCTTCCTCTCTCTCCAATTTATCCACATCCTTCTTAAGTGTGGGGCCAAAACTACACATACTCCAGATGAGCCTCACCAATTCGAATAGAATCCGTCCCTCGATCTCTCCTATGCCCCTACTTATGCATCCCAAATCCATTCCTTCTTGGCAACAAGGCACACTGCTGACTCATATCCACTTCTGTCCACTTCACCCCTAGTCCTTTTCCGCAGAACTCTCCTCCATTGTCCCTAGTCTGTAGCTGTCATTGTTCTTCCGTCCTAGTGCAGACCCTCACTTATCCTTATTGAACCTCATCAGATTTCTTTTCCCAATCCTCCAATTTGTCTAGGTCCTTCTGTATCCTATCCCTCCCCTCCAGCGTATCTACCACTCCTCCCAGTTTATATCATCCCAAATTTGCTGAGAGTGCAATCCACACCATCCTCCAGATCATTTATGAAGATATTGAACAAAACCGGCCCCAGGACCAACCCTTGGGGCACTCCACTTGATACCGGCTGCCAACTAGACATGGAGCCATTGATAACTACCCGTTGAGCCCGACAATCTAGCCAGCTTTCTACCCACCTTGTAGTGCATTCATCCACCCATACTTCCTTAACTTGCTGACAAGAATACTGTGGAGACGTGTCAACTTTCTAAGTCAGAAACAATACATCCACTGCTTTCCCTTCATCCACAGAACCAGAATCTCATCATAGAGATTAGATTAGTCCATGACCTTCCTTGAATCCATCTTGTTCCTGATCACTTTCCTCTCATCAAGGCAGATTTTTTGATGGCCAGTTTATATCCATTTGTTTTTGTGTCCACATTGGTGCTTAACTTAAATAATTCCTCTCCCTCCCTGGTATTGATCCCTCTGATGTATTTATACAGAGCAATCATATCTCCCCTCAGCCTTCTCTTGGTTAGGCTAAACAAGCCAAGCTCTTTGAGTCTCCCCTCATAAAGTAGGTTTTTCATTCCTAAGATCATCCTAGTAGCCCTTCTTTGCAGCTGTTCCACTTTCAATTCATCTTTCTTAAACATAGGAGACCAGAACTGCACATAGTATTCCACATGAGGTCTCACCAGTGCTTTGTATACTGGTACTAACGCTTCTTTGTCTCTACTGAAAATACCTCACCTGGGACTGCATTAGCCTTTTTCACACCTGCAACACATTAACCGCTCATAGTCATCCTGTGATCAACCAATACACTCAGGTCTTTCTCCTCCTTTGTCGCTTCCAACGGATAAGTCCCCAGCTTATAGCAAAAATTCTTGTTGTTAGTCCTTAAGTGCATGACCATGCACTTTGGACTATTAAATTTCATCCCATTTCTATTACTCCAGTTTTCAAGGTCATCCAGATTTTCTTGTGTGATATTCCGGTCCTCCTCTGTATTGGCAATACCTCCCAACTGTGTGTCACCCATAAATGTTATTAGCACGCTCCCACATTTTGTTCCAAGATCATCAATAAAAATTAGGGTTGTCAAGTGATTAAAAAATTATTCATGATTAATCACACTGTTAATAATAGAATACCATTTATTTAAATATTTTTGGATGTTTTCCACATTTTCAAATATATTGATTTCAGTTATAACAGAATACAGTGTACAGTGCTCACTTTATATTTACTTATGATTACAAATATTTGCACTGTAAAAAAAGATAGTATTTTTCAATTCACCTAAGTACGGTAGTGCAATCTCTTTATCACGAAAGTGCAACTTATAAATGTAGAATTGTGTACAAAAAACCTGCATTCAAAAATAAAACAGTGTAAAACTTTAGAGCCTATAAATCCATTCAGTCCTATTTCTTGTTCACAATATCACATGAAAGTGAGAACAGGTGTTCGCATGGCACTGCTGTAGCCGGCGTTGCAAGATATTTACATGCCAGATGCACTAAAGATTCATATGTCCCTTCATGCTTCAACCACCATCCCAGAGGATATGCTTCCATGCTGATGATGGGTTCTACTCAATAACGATCCAAAGCAGCGAGGACTGACGCATGTTCATGTTCATCATCTGAGTCAGATACCACCAGCAGAAGGTTGATTTTCTTTCCTGGTGATTTGGGTTCTGTAGTTTCTGCATCAGAGTGTTGCTCTTTTAAGACTTCTGAAAGCATGCTCCACACCTCATCCCTCTCAGATTTTGGAAGGCACTTCAGATTCTTAAACCTTGGGTCTAGTGCTGTAGCTATCGTTAGAAATCTCACATTGATACCTTCTTTGCATTTTGTCAAATCTGCAGCAAATGTGTTCTTAAAATGAACAACGTGCCGAGTCATCATCTGTGACGACCATAATATGAAAAATATGGCAGAATGTGGGTAAAATAGAGCTGGAGACATACAATTCTCCCCCAAGGAGTTCAGTCACAAATTTAATTAACGCCTTATTTTTTTAAACGAGCGTCATCAGCATGGAAGCATGTCCTCTGAAATGGTGGCTGAAGCATGAAGAGGCATATGAATGTTTAGCATATCTGGCACGTAGATACCTTGCAATACCAACTAAAAAAGTCCCATGCAAATGCCTGTTTTCACTTTCTGGTGACACTGTAAATAAGAAGTGGGCAGCAGTATCTCCCATAAATGTAAACAAACTTGTTTGTCTTAGTGATTGGCTGAAGGAGAAGTAGGACTGAGTAGATGTGTAGACTGTAAACTTTTGAGTTGTTTTGTTATTGAGTGCAGTTATGTAACAAAAAAAAAAATCTACATTTGTACGTTGCATTTTCACCATAAAGAGACTGCACTACAGTACTTGTATGAGGTGAACTGAAAAATACTGTTTCTTTTGTTTATCATTTTTACGGTGCAAATATTTGTAATCAAATATAATAATATAAAGTGAGCAGTGTACATTTTGTATTCTGTGTTGTAATTGAAATCAATATATTTGAAAATGTAGAAAAACATCCAAAAATATTTAATAAATGTCAATGGGTACTCTATTGTTTAACAGTGTGATTAAAACTGTGATTAATCGCGATTAATTTTTTGAGTTAATTGCATGAGTTAACTGCGATTAATCAACAGCCCTAATAAAAATGTTAAATAAGATTGGCCCCAAGACCGTTCCCTGAGGAACTCAACTAGGAACCTCCCTCCAGCGTGACAGTTCACCTTTCAGCACGACCCATTGTAGTCTCCCCTTTAACCAGTTCCTTATCCATCTTTCAATTGTCATATTAATCCCCACCTTCTTCAATTTAACTAATTTAACTAATTCCCAAGTGGACCTGTATCAAATTCCTTGTTGAAACCCAGGTAGATCAGATCTACTGCATTCCCTCTATCTAAAAAAATCAGTTATCTTCTCAAAGAAGGAGATCAGGTTGGTCTGGCAGATTAGTTTCCTTAATGTTTATACAGTGCTCTGAGCTGGCAAAAAACGTTAGGCGATTAGTATATAAATATTTTTTAAATGCTAAATTATCACATGGGGGAAAAAAAAAAATCTTTGCTGTGCACTTTGAGCTCTTTTGAGAAAAAGAGCCACTAAGGGCATTTCTACACTGCATCTGGGAGCAACACGCCCAGCCCAGGTCTACAAACTAGTACTTGTGGGGCTCATACCATCACTCTAGAAATTGATGTGTAGATGCTGCAGCTTGGGCTTTGACTCCTGGGGCATGAGCTTGATAGCGCAAGCCGCAATGTCAAAGCAATGTCTACACAGCTATTTTTAGACTACTAGCACAAGTTTGTGGACCCTGGCTGGGAGGCTCGCTCCCAGGTGCGGTGTAGATGCACCAAAGCCACTCGCTGCCCTGTCTAGAGTTGGAAGTTGAACTGTTGCTACAAATGATTTTAGGCAAAGAACTCTCTTTCAACTGGAACTGAAAACAGTTTAAAGACTAGGATAAAATTCCAAGCCTCAATCAGCTTTCAAAAATAAATCTGGAAGTGTTTTTTTGTGGTCTAAACTCGCACTAAAGCAGTTTCCAATACCAGTTCAGGGGGACCCATCACAAAGTTATTTTCCGCAACAGCTCATTTTCCCATTATAAGTAGGGCTCAAGTGTCTACTACAGTGGTTTTCAAACTTTTTTTCTGGCAACCCAGTTGAAGAAAATTGTTAATGCCCACAATCCAACGGAGCTGGGGATGAGGGGCTCGGGGTGTGGTACGGGCTCAGGTCTGGGGCCGAGGGTTGGGGCATGGGCGGGGCCGGGAATGAGTGGTTCAGGGTGTGGGAGGGGGCTATGGGCTGGGCCAGGGTGTTGGGGTGCAGGAGGGGTCAGGGCTCTGGGCTGGCAATGAGGAGTTTGGGGTGCAGAAGAGGGCTCTGGGTTTGGGGGGGCTCAGGGCTGGGGCAAGGGGTTGGAGTGTGGGAGGGGGTCAAGGCTCTGGGCTGAGGCCAGGGATGAGAGGTTTAGGGTGCAGGAAGGGGCTCGGGCTTACTTTGGGCAGCTCCCGATCAGCAGCGTGAGAGTATTAAGGCAGGCTTCCTGCCTGTCCTGGCACCATGGACCACGCTGTGCCCCAGAAGTGGCCAGCAGCAGGTCCAGCTCTTAGGCAGAGGCATGCAAGCGGCTTCACACAGCTCTCGCCCACAAGCACCGATCCCTCCCAGCTCCCATTGCCCCCCCTGCATAGAAGCCAGATCTGCTGCTAGCCACTTCCAGGGTGCAGCGCAGTGTCAGAACATGTGGGAACTAGCCTGCCTTAGCCAGGCAGCACCACCAACGGGACTTTTAACAGCCCAGTCAGCAGTGCTGACCAGAGCCGCCGAGACCCAGTGTCTTCCATTCCGCGAATCAGTACTGGGTTGCGACCCGCAATCTGAAAACCACTGGTCTACTCCACCCTATTATTTTAGAACAAGAATACTTGTAAATTTAAGCTTATAGGAACTGCAATATTGGATCAGGCTCAAAGTCCATCTGGTATAATATCCTGTCTCTGACAGCGATCTGTACCAGATGCTACAGAAGGTGTAAGAACTGCACAGTAGGTAGGTGGGGAATAACCTGTCCCCTACATAAAGATCAGGATGAGACCTAATAGTCAGGCACTGGGATAAACCCTGAAGCATGCAGTTTAATATGCCTTCCAAAATCATGGTAATAATTCGAACAATTCTGGATATTCCTGATATCTATAAATATCCAATCCCTTTTTTAATCTTGTTACACTCTTGGCGTCATCCAAAACCCACATCGAAATGTCCTGCCTTTTTCCCAAAGATGTTCAAAAGGCAATTTGTGCCAGTGTCTTGTGGTCGTCAAGGGAACACAGTTACTCCTAGCATTCAGGAGAACAGCCTACCAGATGAAACAGCAAAGTTTCTATTTATTATTCTTATTGTGGTAATGGCAAGAGAGCCCAATCAGGAGCAGGAATTCATTGCACAAGCCACTATACAAGTGCATAGCAAGACACGAACTCTGCTCCAGTTTGCTTACAAAGGTTAAAGAACAGTGCTTCTCATTAACGGAGATGGTTTGCTTTCAGGATACCTCATTATGTGTGTGTTATGAGTATGGAGGACTAGGATCCCATGGGTGGATGCTCACTTACATCTTCATCCAGGAGAAGACAGGCCTGTTTTTAATCACTCTCCCTTGAAAGCAAAAAAATGCACTCAGGCCCGGCTCTATGATCACTCACGGTGGGAGATTTCAAACGGGCACGGGGAAATACAGGAGCCTTCGGCGCTCATCAAAAACAGGAAAAGGGACTCAACTCCCCCCCGCCCCCCGGAGCAGCAGCTCTGGGGCTGCTGAGGCGAAAGGGAGGGGGAGGGGGAGGGGGAGGCAGAACAGCTGCCCCGCTGAAATGCACCAGGTTGTCCGACTCCTTGACAGGGAGAAGAGCCACGAGGAGAACGAATTAAAGAAGGGGGCTGCGCCCGTGCACGGGGGCAGAGTCGGGAAGGGGAACTGCCCAGGAATGGGGGTCCCCCTCCCCCATGCATCTCAGTGGGGCCCCTCCCACGGACCGCCCCTGCTGGAGCCCCAGCTCCTCCCCCGGAGCCTCTCCCTCCTTGCCGGCGCCCCTGAGCGCCGAGGCCGAGGCCGAGGCCGTGCCCGCCCCGCGCTGCCCACTCCTGAGGGACAGGGGAGCCGCCCCCACCTGAGTCCCGCGGCTCGCTCTCCGCCTCTCTTGGAGCTACTCTGCACACCGACCCCGACGCACACGGGAACCACCGCCTCCACGGCGCTGTGCGTCTGCCGTCACTTCCGCCTCGGTGGGGGGGAGCCCACGCTCACCCGCCTCCAGTCATAGAGGCCTGTTCTTTGCCTCAGTGCCAAGACGACGCTCTACCCACCCCTAGGAGCATAGACAACTGGACCTCCTGCGGCCCTGCGCCGTGCAAACTGAACCCGCCTAACTGGCTATGCACCTGCGCAGAGTGCCCTCCGGGGTTGCGCGTGTGTAAACCCTGTTGGCACGTGCCGCTGGTGCGCATGCTCCATGTGCCTCATGCCGAGGAGGAGTTCTGTGCTCAGGTAGAGTCCCCTTTCCAGGGCGGGGCAGTGGGGTCCCAGAGCGAAGCTCCAGGAGCTTCCAGACCCCGCCCCCGGGCAGCCTGGAACGCTCCTGCGCGGGCGCAGCGTGCCATGGGGCTCGGCAGGGCCGCCTCCTGCACCCTGTCCATGCTCCCACCTGCCCCCAGCCAGAGGGAGCCTGCCAGCCAGCTCCCTGCCCCCCCCACCCCTCGGCCACAGGCAGCACAGCCCTTCCCCCCGTGCTTAATTTGTGCTAGGGCTCAGCCCTGCATCTCTGGTTGGCAGTTCATAGCCCCCGCACTTCTGGGCTTGCTGCGTCAGTTATGAATGTAAAAAAAATGCCTTGAGCCTCAGCACCTAGTTGCTTGAGCCCTGGCACTACTTTCAATTCCTGGGGTTAAAACACTACCTGACCCTTTCCCAGCATGTGGGCACCATAGTCCCTTTTGCAGGACAGTGATGGGCCACTGCACATGCCATGCGCCAAATTCACAGCTCCAGCTCCTGCTGCAGGAACAGCGCACCCCAGCTTGGCCGTTACACCTCAGGCTCCACTCACAGCACTTAGGGTGACGGTGAAATCAGACTTGCGTTTATTTAACAAAGAATAGCGAGTCAAGAAGAAACAAGGAGAATGGAAACAGATGGTTAAATAGCAAATAAAATAACACACTTTCTAGAGTCTAAATTTAACTAAGATGACATTTTCATAATGACATTTAGTTTATCCAAAGCTTCCCTGATAGTGTTCAGCAACCAGGTTGGCTGCTTGTCCCCTAGGTGAAGGATGTCTCGGTTTACCTCTGTACCTCTGGATATAGTTCCAACATTCCATTGACTTTACTTGTAAACAGGAGAGAATTTTCCCTGGAGACTTTGCAATCTTTTGATTAGCATTTTGCTCAGTCTGTAAATAGGCATCCATTGTGAAGTATGCAATACTCAAATTTACAAATAGGCAGACAGGTGGACAAGCGTTTCCTGCCTGAAAGAAATTTTATTACCTTTTGATGACCAGGCCCAGCTTGCAGACCTTAAGAGCATAATCTTTAGCATATGTACCTAACTCCTTATATATTATCTGTACATACATTTTGCAATGATTATGATGATCAGTGTGACACAGACTTTCTGTAGAAACCTTACGGGACACCCTTTGATGAATTAGTATGTAGATACCAGACCCAGGGGATCCCTGTAACCTTATGTTGGCACCAAGAGGTCCCTGAGTCACACAGCCCCCCTCACAACACCTGCTATGGGGAGGTAGGCGCATATCAATGGGGCTTCCTCCTCTCCCTTCATCCCAACCCACAACACCCATTGCAGGGAGAGGAGGAGGCCCCATTGATGCAAATTCCCTTGAGGAAAGACAGGCCTGACACATGCAGATGGAGGACGAGGGCCTTCTAGGCCATCCACCGAGGGGAATAGCATCCGCTGAGGGTCAGTCAAAAGAACCCAAGCAAGCCTCTGCTTTTACTTAAATGTCATGGAGGGGGAGGGCAATGTCCCTGCAGAACAGTCAAGACCTTGCGTTTTATGGTCTTATCAAAAGAGCCACAACAGGATAAATTGCATGGAGGTCAATGCTTCTGTACCTTGGAAAGATGGAGGTCTGAGCAAGCCCTAGGGATTACATAGCACACTACTATTAGCAGTACTAGAGAGCCACCATGTTTTGAGCAGGGAGTTCAGATATACATAATTCAGATATTCCATAATTCATTCAAGAAATGACTGCCCTCTACCTCCTTATGCTCCTTAGAGCTCATGAATCTCAACATTCCTTTTTGGGTTACCGTCCTTGCTACATCTTGCAATTAAAGGGAATCATTCTCTAGTCACATCCTTGTCATTTGACATAGATCGCTTCGTAGTGCCATTCAAACTGGTGTGATCTAGGGAGCTTAGATGAAGCAAGAGGACATATTTATCTTCCTTGGTAATATGGCCTGTTACCAGTTAGGGGAATTTCAGTGCCTCATGCATTAGAAATACAATACATATTCACCACCTTTGGAATTCTCTTTGGCTGGACTGGGATGTCCTTAAGCACAAGATGTATGCTTACGTGGGGTCCTGAGCTTCTGAGTCAAGAACATCCGTGTTTATTATTGTATTTCAGTTTCTTGAACACGATGAAAGGTGGTCTACACATTTTCTTTACTTTCATACAGTCCAAATAGGTCCAAAGATTCATCTTTTATAACAGCTTACATCATTGCCTATGATTATAGATTCTGATTTCACAGCTGTATTTATTGCCCTGATGAGCACAAGACCTGCTATATTGGCCCAGCCCTGTATCATCATTGATGTTAATGTCAAAGATGCACTCAATGACTTTTCTCAGTTCATCTTTACAGGGGATTCTCTTCCACCCAATGTTTCCTTTATGAAAAATATGGCAATAAGAGCATATGGCTGGTACCTCCCACCTTATATAATAAGTAGGTGTAGCAGAATTCCGTGTAAGTTTGGTACAGGGCAGATCTGCCAGCTGTCACGCATGGGTTGGGTCTAATTATTTCAGCTCATCTGGCTGCGCTTTCTGAGTCACTGACAGAAGAGCGAAATCAGAAAGTACATTGCAATCATTTCTCATTCAACAATAAGAAACAGAAAGGGACTTCTTAGAATGCCAAAATGTGCCCAGCAGCCATGCTTGGGGCCACAGGACTCATTCCACACATAACAAAACTAAAGATAGGCCAAAATCAGAAGGATTTAACTTCCTTCCCCATCTCACATTTTGGGGGTTTGGGCTAAATGGGATCCAGATTTTAATCATGTCTGGATTTTGATTTGGAAAGCTAAAATCCAACTGATGAACTTGCAAAATCAACTCTAATTTTTGCCCACATCTGACCTGGACATCTATATCTCTTCTTTATATCAGATTCTCACTTTCAAGATACCATGATGTTTCCCACTTTCCCTCCATCTCTATTGAACCTAGCTGTTCTCCACCAGAAGCCCAGGATGACTCAGGAAAATGGCCATATTTGGTTTGCTACTAACTCAGTGGTGGGAACAGACTGTGTTTCATCTGTGAACTTGCTGATCTGGCCAACTTAAACTGCAGTCTGTGCTTATGACAATATAAAAAACAAAATAATTACAGTAGCTAAAGGTGACAGTGGGAACAATAAAGGTCATTATGGAAGGAAAGCTTCTTCGAAGAGACAAGTCATTTCACGTGCCACCTTAAAGAGGTGACCATAGAGCCACCAACTGATCTGGTGAAGTGACCACATGATGCATATGATGTAGTACAGTGGCTCTCAACCTTTCCAGACTATTGTACCCCTTTCACGAGTCTGATTTCGGCCCAGGGCAGCAAGGCTCAGGCTTCAGCTTCAGAATGTATCTTAGCTTTGCTGAGCCTCTGCTTGCCACCCCCTAATGCTGGCCCTGTGTAACGGGTTGTCAGGGTTCCTTCCCCACTCTGAACTCTAGGGTACAGATGTGGGGACCTGCATGAAAGACCCCCTAAGCTTATTCTTACTACCTTAGGTTAAAAACTTCCCCAAGGTACAAACTTTGCCTTGTCCTTGAACAGTATGCTGCCACCACCAAGCGTTTTAAAGAAAGAACAGGGAAAGAGACCACTTGGAGATGTCTTCCCCCAAAAATATCCCCCCAAGCCCTATACATCCTCTTTCCTGGGGAGGCTTGAGAATAATATCCTAACCAATTGGTTACAAAATCATCAAAGACCCAAACCCCTGAATCTTGGAACAATGGAAAAATCAGTCAGATTCTTAAAAGAAGGATTTTATTTAAAAAAAAAAGAAAGGTAAAAATCATCTCTTTAAAATCAGGATGGAAAATACTTTACAGGGTATTCAGATTCAAAACACAGAGGATCCCCCTCTGGGCAAAACCTTAAAGTTACAGAAAACAGGAATAAACCTCCCTCTTAACACAGGGAAAATTCACATAAAACAAAAGATAAACTAATCCGCCTTGCCTGGCTTACCTATACTGGTTGCAATATTGGAGACTTGGATTGGGATTGGTTGGAAAAGATGAGTTTCTGTCTGGCCTCTCTCAGTCCCAAGAGAGAACAACCACGTAAACAAAGAGCACAAACAAAAGCCTCCCCCCCCTCAAGATTTGAAAGTATCTTGTTCCCTTATTGATCCTTTGGGTCAGGTGCCAGCCAGGTTAGCTGAGCTTCTTAACCCTTTACAGGTAACAGGTTGTTGCCTCTGGCCAGGAGGGATTTTATAGCACTGTATACAGAAAGGTGGTTACCCTTCCCTTTATATTTATGACACGGGTTGTGCTCACCACTGTGGCACCTACTGCTGGTTGCTCCTGGAATTAACTTTGTCCATCAGCCGGGCACCCTCCTCTTGTGGTGTCTCACTTTCAGTCACTGCTTCTCCACAGTCTCTGCGGTCTGTGGGGACCTGCGTCACTCCTGGACCACGGTGTCCTCTTCAGGGCACAGCCCTTTAGCTGTGCCCCAACTCCGTTGTCTCCCCTTTGTGGGGGAAATCAGCAGTCCATCACCCAACCTCTCACCGCAGTGGCAAACTGCGGCCCTGTGACATTCTGTACCTCATGGGAACACCGTACACCCCCATGTTCATCCTTATAATATGATTGTGTGGTATCTAATGCAAAGTTTATCATGTCAGGCTCATGATGTACTGAGCATTGTTGTTATGGTAATGTTTTAGTAATTGTTGTTATAGTAATGTTATAGGTTATAATTTCATGTATATAGTTATGAGGCAGAAAATGTGTTCTCATGGCTTAAAGCAAGCTCAGACAAAAACTCTCCAAGAGCAGAGGGGCAGTTCACGCCTCATCAGGACATGTATGGGACAAACCCAGCCTAGCCTCACAGGAACAAAGGACGCTGGCCTAGGCAACAACAAAGGATCTGTTGGACTCTCAAGTAAGTCACCCCCCTTCCTTTAAACTATCCTCCCTCCTCCCCATAACCCTTTTACTAGACTGAACATATAAATCTATTACTAATTCCCTCTAAAAACTAGTTTTAAAGAGCAGCAATACACAATTTGAAGGCAAATAATGTCTTTGGTTTCCCCTCTCACTGTCTGTCCTTTGTTTTCACCCATTTTAACTTGTGACTTTGAAAAGGTTTTTGTTAGATGAATAGACCTGGTCTAGTAAGACCTCTGCCTTAATATTATTTTCATGTACAACAGTATCAAGTTGTTTGCTATGGGTTATTTACAAGTATCCAGACAATTGCCAAGTATTAAAGGAAATGCTCACAAATCTCAGCAGTTTTATGAATTTTCTTACAAGATAAGCATGTTGCATATTCTCCTCTTTAAAATATTTCAGGGAGAAGGATACCACGTGATTTAGCTGACCAGCCACACAGCGGGTGATATTCCTCAATGCAACGCTTAAGTTCACACAAGCCTTCAAAATAGGACTTAAGTAGTGCATGGGTATTTAGCTAGCTCTCTGCATAAGGGTGCATTTCACCCAGCACAAATAGATCGTGAAATTTCACAAACTCATTCTGCAAATTATTCATCCCAGCCATTTAGGAGAAGGCTGGTTATGTTTCTCCTCAAAACCTTTAGACAACTGAGATGAGTCAATGAGATTAGAAATAATGGCTGCAAAATGTGTTCTGTTTACATGTTGTACATCTGATTCTATATTCAATATATATTTCACAGCCATAGCCAGCTGGTTACATTTCAGAGATAATCTTAGGCCAAAGTCGCTTATTCTAAACTAGGGCACACAAAAAAACCTGGGTGCCTGTCATAAAAGGACTACACCTCAGGGATGTTAAGGGAAGTTCAGCAGAGAACACAAGATACTCAGTGTAAAACCTCTCACAAGATCAGTGGTAGCTGCATGATCAAAGCATGTTGCCCAATGCTGTTGTTTCTACAGGTAAGAATGAGGGAGCTGGCTAATTGAAGTGTCAGATGTCACGATAGGGCAGGGGTCGGCAACCTATGGCACGGCACGTGAGCCGATTTTTAATGGCACACTGCTGCCTGTCGGGTCCCAGCCGCCGGCCCCGCTCTGCCCGCTGCCGAACCCAGGCCTGGCCCCCGGCAGGCAGCAGCATGCCATTAAAAATCCTGCCCGCCCCGGCCTGCTCTTCTCCGCCCCCGCCCCCCAGCAGGATGAAGAAGCTTGGTCCTGCCAGCTGCTGCTGCAGGGCAGGAAAGCTCCCCTCTCCCCCGCCTCTTCCCCCAGCATGCTGGGTTCCTGCCCCTCCTCCTCTCCCTCTCTGCTGCTGATCAGCTGATGGCCCTTGCACCGGGATGGGGAGAAGAGGAGCTGCAGTGCTCTCGCTGCTCCGGGAGGAGGCGAAGATGAGGTGGGGACGGGGCCTTGGGGAAGGGGGGGTGGAATCAGGCCATATCCCCTCCAGCCCCGTCCTGTGAGCTGCTCTGAGCAGGGGGCTGGGAACACCCCCACGACCCCAGCCCACACAGCCAGCCCTCTGCCCTGATCTCTGCACCCCCCCACACACCCCAGCCCTCTGCCCTGACCCCTACACCCTCCTCACACACCCCCAGCCCTCTGCCCTGATCCCTGCACCTTACATCGCCCCCACACCCCAGGCCCCTGCCTTGAACCCTGCACCCTGCTCATACACACCCAGCCTCCTGCACTGACCCCTGCACCCCCCCACGACCCCAGCCCTGACTTCAGTACCCCCCACACATACCCAGCCCCCCCACACCCAATGTCCTGACTCTTGCACCGCCCACATTCCCACCCTGAACACCAAACAGGAGCTCCTGCACCCTCCCACATTCCCACCTGCACCCCTCGCACCAAATGGGAGCTGCCCAGGTAAGCACTCCACACCCAAACCTCTTGCCCCAACCCTGAACCACCTCCTTCATTCTAGCTCCTGGCCAGACCCTGCACCCCAACCCCCAGCCTGCTCCTTCACCCCCAGCCCTGTGCTCAGTGCACTCCCACCCTCAGCTCAATGCAGAGAGAGAGGAAGAGAATGGGCTAGAACCAGGGAGAAAGTAGGTACCTACTCTAAGTGGGCAGGGCCAGGATCCCAGACCGGCAGCGGGCTGAGTGGGGCTGGCAGGAGCCAGTGGACTGAACCGCAGACTGGCAGTGGGCTGAGTAGCAGCGGGCTGAGCCGCTCAGCCCACTGCCAGTCTGGGGTCCTGGCCCCGCTCAGCCCGCTGCCAGTCTGGGGTTCTGGCTGCCGGCCCCTTGCCAGCCAGGGTTCCTGCTGCAGGCCCTCGCTCAGCCTGCTGCCAGCCTAGGTGAACGGAATCCTAGGCTGGCAGCGGGCTGAGCGGGCCGGTGGCGTAAGATCAGCATTTTAATTTAATTTTAAATGAAGCTTCTTAAACATTTTGAAAACCTTGTTTACATTCAACAATAGTTTAGTTATATAATATATTGAGATACTTTCTAAAAGACGTTAAAATGTATTACTGGCACGCGAAACCTTAAATTAAAGTGAATAAAAGAAGACTCAGCACACCACTTCTGAAAGGTTGCCGACCCCTGCTATAGGGCATGCTCCTCAGAGTATACTTGGTAGGCTTTGCCAATTTTTGAGTCAGTTGCAAAACAGTCTTTGAATGCCAATAGGCAGCAGCAGATAGAGTACATTTACATATCAGATATGAGCAAGCCTCCACGATGTCAGTACAGATGCAGAGTCAACATGGCTTCTATTATCTTAGACTCTATAGCATGTCAGCCTTCAAAGCAGTCTTGGTGGTAGTTCCCAAAAGCCAAAATATTGTGATGTGGCATTTCCCCTCCATGTCCTAGCAATGAGAATCTGCAGCTCACCCAGAGCTTTTCACTTCAAAGCGCGGTTTAATCTGGAAGTGCTCACACCTTTTGTGCTTCATGGTCAGTCCATACTGAGGTGTTATGTCCGCCTTCTCACCATCACATATGCTGAACTCCAATTGCTGGAGCAGGGTGGTCAAGAAGAGGAAGACCTCCCACCTGCCAATGGACTCACCAATGCACTTCCTCTTCCCCAAGCCAAACATCATCACTTTCTCACTCTCTGCCCTGTTTACTTCAGTCCCTTCAGCACTGAGGAAACGCTCTGGGTTGAAGGTAGATGGATCTTTCCAAAGCTTCCTGAAATGGAAGGAGAAGACCACAGTTGTACCATCATCTGAAGGATTACTAGGAAAGCAGGCATTTCAGCATGAATAGCATCAGAACAGACTCGTGTGAAACATGGCAACAGTTTTCAGCCTCACATCCAGCTACTTTTACTACTCATTCGTGCTCTCACCTTTAGCACTGCAGCAACAAAATCCTCTGTGCCAAATTCAGCTCTAGTGTTGCTTACTTGAAAGTTTATGCAGTTACACCAGGGATGAATTTAACCCTTTATGTTTGTGACCAAAGGCAATATAGTTTCGGCTGAGGGGAAAACAAGTCATTAATGGGTTCGATTTTTTTTATTAAAAATGATGATTTGAGGTTTCATAATTTGAAATCTTCCTGGGAAAACCAATTGCATCCTAGACCATCCATAATGGACCTATCCTCCATAAACCTATCCAGTTTTTTTTAACTCATTTATACTTTTGGCCATCACAAGATCCAATGGCAATGAGTTCCACAGGTTAGTTGCGCATTGTGTGAAAATGTACTTCCACTTGCTGGTGTTAAACCTGCTGTCTATTCATTTCATTGGGAGATCCTTGATTTTTGTGTTGTGTAAAAGGATAAACAAGATTTCCTTATTCAGTTTCTCTACACCGTTCATGATTTTACAGACCTCTGTCATATCCTCCCCCATTAACCATCTTTTTTCTAAGCAGAACTGCCTTAATCTTTAGTCTTTTCTGGTATGGAAGTCATTCCGTACCCTTTTGTCATCTTTGTTGCTCCTCTCTGAAGCTTTTCCAGTTCTACAATAGCCTTTTTGATATGGGGCAACCACAAATGGACACACTATTCAAGGAAGGAGTGCACCATGAATTTATATAGCAGCATGATGATATTTTCTGTCTTATTTTTTATCCCTTCCTGAATAGTCCCTAACATACTGTTAGTCTTTTTGATCATTGCTGTGCATTGAATGGAAGTTTTCAGAGAACTACCTGTGGTGGCTCCAAGATCTTTCTTTGGTGGTAACATCTAATTTAGCAAAAGAGAGAGAGAGACAGGATTTTCCCATATGCATTACTGTGCACTTACCAATGTTGGATTGCATGTGCCATTTTGTTGCCCATTCATCCAGTTTTGTGAGATACCTCTAACTCTTTGCATATATCTTGAATAATTTTGTATTGTCTGCAAAGTTTGCCACTTTGCCCCCTTTTCCAGATTAATATGTTGAATAGCACAAATCCCAGTAAAAATTCTTGGATGACCCACTCTTCACCTCTCCACTGTGAAAACTGACCAATTATTCCTACCCTTTCACCAGTTTCTGACCCTTGAGAGGACCTTCCCTCTTATCCCATGGCTACTTAGTTTCCTTAAGTGCCTTTGGTGAGGGACCTTGTCAAAAGCTCTGAAAATCCAAGTGTACAGTATCAACTGGCTCACCCTTATCCAAATGTTTGTTGACTCCCTGAAAAAATTGTAAGATTAGTGAGGCATGACTTCCCTTAAACTAGGTTAAACCTAGTCTACCTGCAAGATACTGGATCCCAGCAGGCCCAGTACGAACAACATTAGTTACTGTGGTATATGGGTGTGGGGAAAGGCTCAGACTTTAGTATCTAAAAGCCACATTGGTCCCAGTTCTCCTCTCACAAGGTTGAAAGTCAGAACTCCATTTGAATCCATGGAATTCTACTAGCGTAAGTGAAGAGAATAAGACCCATAGTTTACCAGTCATACAGTAAATCCTCAGTGAGATCGCTCCTCCCCCACACCCCAAAACAGAGACTTCAACCGGTTTACAGAGTTTCTATAGAAATAATGTCTGCAGCATATTCCCAATAATCCTGTACAGTCATTTAGGACTCATCTAGATTTGTCTTATTGATACAAAGGCATTGGAACAATTTTAGCACCAACCCATCATATTTGGTCTGACTGAACTTACTCATCGTGATTGACTTGCCACTGGTTGACAAACACACAGAGGTCCTTCGGGATGAAGTAGCCATTCAGTACTGTGTCTTTCGTTGTGCTGAAAGAAACAGAGGTGGTCTTAAATTTAAAAAGCTGCAAGGCCCCTTTCAGGTGAATCAAAGTGAGATGACAGTTTTAGAGAAGTGTCTTGTTTTGTACATCTTATTTGCATTCCTCAGACTTGTGTTAGGTGATAGCCTGTCTTTTTTTGTATTTGCAGTGTTAATTGTGAACATTTCTGGGAAATGGAGAATTTTCAAACTCATGTTACTAGCAAAGAAAGTTCCTGTCACGGGAAACAAATGCCTGTTGAAGTGATCAGGTGACATGGTTTCTCCCAAGGAAGAGAAGAAAACATTAAGACACTATGCTGTAGCTCTTAATGGCCCTGCATCAGGTGAATTGGAGGGTCTGAAGTGAAACTGTACTTGGGATTGAGCAGCTTGCGATCAACAACCAGTGCAGCTACACAGGTACAAACCCCAACTAAAGCCACCCTTTACATCAATACAGCTACGTCAGTTGCTGAATTGGAACTAATCCCATGTATAGATAAGGCAAGAGAAAGGGTTTGAATAACTAATTCAAATCATAGAATATCAGGGTTGGAAGGGACCTCAGGAGGTCGTCTGGTCCAACCCCCTGCTCAAAGCAGGACCAATCCCCAATTTTTGCCCCCATCCCTAAATGGCCCCCTCAAGGATTGAACTCACCACCCTGGGTTTAGCAGGCCAATGCTCAAACCACTGAGCTATCCCTCCCCCAATGTGCTGCTGAATATTTCACCCCCCCATTCAACTTGAGGAGGGAGGGTGCCTTTTGCACTATTCCCCCAGAGGAGTATGGTTTACTTGGCTTCATATCAGGAGGTGGTGAAGGTGATAACAGGGTAAAGAATTCTGTGTTAATCTGCACAGGAAGGGGGCTGAGTCAGAAGACCATTCTCACAGAGAGCACCAAAAAAAAGGGCACAAACTGGCCTTGACAGTTACAGGACTTACCAGTGAGGAATGGTGAAGGGCAGGAAGGAGGAATGTCGGAACATCTCTAAGATAAAAGCTTCTGTATAGGGCAGCAGGGGCCGGTCTGATAGTCTGGGTCTCCTCTCTCTGCCAATCAACTGATCTACAGGTTAGAGTGGAGGAAGAGGTTGTTTGGCACCCAGCCTTCGAGACACAGGCCTTGAAACTGTATATACCTGAAAGCATGAACCTACCTAATTCTTCATGAATCTTCTTCTGAATTTCTGGATATGTCACAAGATACATGAGACTCCAGGACAACGCAGTTGTCACAGTGTCAAAACCTGGATAGAGACAAAGGAAAAGCAAAGCATTTAGTCATCACTTGAAGACAAGTCAAAGGAAATTTACAACCCCATGCCTTTAGATGTTCCTCATTTCTTGGCCAATTTTGCAAGGTGTTAATGTTAGTAGTAGTGCAGTTTTTTTTTTTATCAACTCTGTAAAGTTAATCAAAAATGTGGATGTGCCACAACTTAAATTCAAGGGTGTTTGGAATTTTAGTTCAGGCCCATCTCTAGTAGTTTTATCATCCCAACTCTGGATTGACAGCACTAAACAGCAGTACACAACTGTCTCTGGAGAACTTGTTTCATGGTTATTGTTCCTACAAAGTCCTTCAGGGGGACTGAATTGCCAAAGACTCTTGATTTAAGAACTTTCAAGCTTTCAGTTTGTAAAAATTTAACTGCTCTGCTCCTAACAGTAGCCAACTGAAGTATCCTTTATGCCTCAGAGAATGAGAGTTGCATGAATCAAAGGCCTGGAGATAAATTGGAACAGAAAGCTCTGGGATTGCTTTGGATTTGAATGCAAGTATTTTTACCAGCTCCAAAAAGGTCATTGACAATGCTGATGATCTTCTGATCAGAGAGCTGAATGTTGGCAGATTCATACACTTTCTTCTCCTGACAATGCTCAATCAGGGAGTCGGTGATGTCCCGAATATTGTCCTGAAATAGGAAAGTCCATAGGTTGGAAAGGGTACCAAATTCCAAAACACTAAGGCAGTTAAACAAGAACAGTCCACTGGTGGAGGGAGGAAAGTCTAGTGCCTCGTTGTCACAGGTGTGTGAACTCCGAAGCATGATTACATTGCAGGTTCAGATGTGCAAATAAGCTTTTCTCCCCTGCAGTCATTAGCCAACAGATAATGCTATTTGTCCCAAGTTATGATAATAGAGTGGACTATATTGCTTCCTACAGCAGCTATGAAACTTAAATTAAAGAGTTATAATCAATTGAAAACATTTACTAGTTATAGCAAAATATAGAAATCAATGCCTCTAAATAGTCTGTTTATAAGAAATAATTGGGTTTTAATTTGTAATGTTTTGTTGGGAAATATGCTATTTGGCTAGAGAGAAGATGTTGCATGATCTCCACTACCTCTTCTCTAACCTCTGCTTCAGCTGATATTTGTTTGTGAGCCAGAAAGCAAAAGAGAAAAGACAAAAAGCAGACAATGAAGGATAGAGCAGGAAAATGGATGCAAATGAATCGCCTCCAAGCCGGTTACCTTATCAAAGCTGCTGTAGTGCTCCTTAACAATCTTCTGCAAAAAGGAGTTGAACCTCTCATTGAGATCCTTGAAAATTTTCATGGTGCGGCTAGGGAGATACTGGAGCACTGGGATGAAATCTGCAGGGTTGCCGGAAGCAGCCACATCCCCAAACTCATTGTTCAGGTTTACCATACTGAGCAGCTCCTGGTCACCATGGTCGTAACGGTTGCCAAAGCACATGGCACAGATGACATTGGCCACAGAGACCACCACATACCGATAGGGGTCAAACCTCTTCTTCTCTTCCATCAGTTGCAGCAACTTTCTTATTAGGTAGTCAGCTTCTTTGGAGACGTGCTCCTCGAGGAGGCAGGTGGACGAAGAGTTGGGGCTGGGCGAGACAGAGAAGGTCTTCAGGGCATTCTGGGCCAACTTCCTGCGAGCTCTCCACACCTCCCCTGAATCAGTGCTGAAGGTCAAGCTCTGGCCATCTCCAATGTAGCGGAAACTGTAGAGATCAGGGCGCCCCATGAAGTCCTCCCCTTGCTTCACCAGGGCTTGTTTGATGGTGTCCAAACCACTCAGCACAAGCACAGGTCTGGTGCCGATCCGTATCTGCATCACATCTCCATACTTCTGGCTCATCTGAGTCAAGGTCAGGTGTGGATTGCTCCCCAGCTCCAGCACGTTGCCTATCAGGGGGTAACCCCTTGGTCCTGGGAGCCTCTTCAGCCCCTTGGGGATCTGCTGCCGGAAGGATCTGATGACCATGAACGTCAGACAGAAGACAGCAGAGGCAATAAGGATCTCGGTGACTGAGATAATGCTCTGGCTTCCCAGCAGTGACATTGCAGCCTTCATCTTCAAGGGACTAAGAACCCTAAGATTAAACAAAAGAAAGGTAAGAGGTAAAATCCAGGAGGCACCTCAGGTTATAAGGCAGTGTTATCTGATGGTTACTTCATAAAGCTAGCAGTCAGGAAACCTGCATTCTAATTTTGATTGGGGCACTTGCTTTATGAGACTATTTCTACTTGAACCACATTTCTTTAAATGACCAGAGTGAAACAACTTGCCACATTGATTTTACTCCTTAATGACCCCAGGACCAGAGATCTTGCTCCTTTCATCCCAAGAGTTATAATACTTTACATTTATATAGAAGCCGTTAAAAGGATCCAAAAACATTTTTCATACTATATGCCTATGACAGTGTGCAGTTAAGCAACTATAAACAGAGCTTTTTGGAAGCTAGCACCCTGGTCACTTAGGTTATGTCTACACAGGGATAAAAGCTGCAGCTGGCCCAGGTCACCTGACTTGGACTCGGGCTTGTGGGGCTAAAACGTGCTGTGTAGACATTCAGACTTGGGCTAGAGCTCAAGCTTTGGGATCATCCACCATTGTAGGGTCCCAGAACTTGGACTCCAGCCTGAATCCAAACATCTACACAGCACGTTTTTAGCTCTGGAACCAGAGCCCTGAAAACCTGAGTCAGCTGAGCCAGGCCAGCTGTGGGGTTTTTATCCCTATGTAGACATACCCTTAGACAGAGCACCCAGGGTACATGGTGTAGAGTATGAGGGAGTTAAGTAGTTTGAGCAGGTTTGGAAGGTTAGAAGAGATTGCTTGGACCTGTAGAGAACCTGGTAAGTTAATGAGGTAACTAGCTCATCAGCTGGATAGCTGGGAGAAGAAGGCAAGCTGTATACAAGACTGAACCAGGGAGCAGGAGGGGGACTCCTAGCTGCTGCTATATTTAATTGGTGTTATACTTGGCACACAAGGGAGAAATAATACAGATGCTCTGATGGATTATGTATGCTGTTTAATTCACCCAGGCAGGGTTTCCAGGAACTGAAGGGGGACCTGCTTACAGGGCCAAATTCTCCTCATCTTGTTCAAATGGTTAGTGAGTCCCATTGATTTAGGGGTCACCAGCCCTGTAGCATTGCACCTCAGCTCATCTAAAGAATGCATGCAGGGTTTTGCTTTGAATAGCCAAGAACTTCATTGCTGAAATGTTGCAATTTCTGGAGTAGAACATCATGGTTCCCTAACAGGCTGTGGCAGCATTATACCAGCATTTACTAGGGGAATGAAGAGAAGGTGCCTTAATGACTTGGAGCTACCAAGGGGAAATTCTGAGGTACAGAATGTAGTTACCCAAGTTATAATTTGGCCCTAACACCGGGTCCGACGGTCCTAATCTTGCTGAGAATATCACAGGATGCAGGACTTAAGTGTTTGATCTCAGTTTAAGATCACCTGGAATATGCACATGCAGAAGGGAGAGATGGGGCTACCAAGATCTCTGTAAGATTCTTAGTATGACCACATGCCAGAAAAAAAAGGGTAATCTGAAGGCAAAGTCTAGTTCAGCTTTAGTCAAAAGTCTCTGTTACAACCAGCGTGCACCTCTCTCCAGAAGGGTCTGTTGAATGAGGGTCTCTCTACTTACAGCACCTGTGTGTAGTAGTGCACATAGATTAGACACCAGTTACTTTCGTGTGTTTGTTTCCGACACACTAGATCTTATCAGTTCCAAAGAGCATTGTATGGTTTATAGTGTCACTGATTCACCCATTAAAGATTGACATAGGAGAGGGAGTGCCTCACATTTCCACGAAGGGAGAGATGTAAGCTAGTGAGTGAGGAAATCAGTCCAGATTTTTCCGTCTCCTAGTTCACACTGAAGGAAGAGAGTCTGTTCATTCACTGAGAATGAGGAAATGATGGGTAGACTCTTTAAAAGGGGTCAGTTCTCCTGGGTGTAGGGTGACCAGATAACAGGTGTGGAAAATCGGGATGGGGGTGGGGGGTAATAGGCGCCTGTATAAGACAAAGCCCCAAATATCGGGACTGTCCCTATACAATTGGGACATCTGATCACCCTACCTGGGTGAGGGGTGCTTTTTTAAGTCACCAGGAAGCCCAGACTAGACTTTTGTGCCCATCACTGAATGGACAGTGGCTTGTTTCATGCAAAAACAGGAACAATCTTCCTAATTGTTTAGTGAAAGGAAATTATTAGAGACTAGGAAAGCATTAAGTGGCGGATTTCCACCTCTACAAGCAAGACAGGCAATTCCCAGAGCACACACATCTTCCCTGCAGAACCAAGGCACAATGGGCAGAGGTGGATCTGAAAACAAGGGTCTCTATAAGATGTCCTCCATTCTAAATGTCCTATCTTCTGGGACATTTAAATCGGACCATCTGAATTGATCTAAAGCAACTTTTGTGGGGTTTAGAACAGTTTTTGCCAGAGACTATTTACTTCCCTTGTTTCCATTTCTTGTTCCTTCAGTAGGAGATCTCTAGGTTTTGAGTCATCCCCCCCAACAAGCAGCCTATATTGCTCACTCATCCAAATCTTAAGGAAGAGAGGTCAGAGCCTTAATATTGGAACCCTTTGGAGAGCTTCTCTGGTACACCCACACTTGACTAGAGTTCTCTTAACTGATTCCCATCCAGGCAAATAAGTCTGTGGCAAAAGATTTAGGGCTCCATCCTTTTGCTATTGAACGGAAGTTTTGCTAATAATTTTGACAGGAGCAAGCCCTGGCCCTTAATTATTGCCAAAGATATATCCTTGCAGGATGTTGGATATGACTGTTTGCATGACTTCTTGCTTGTGAACGTGGGAGACAGAGTTATAACTGCCCCCGTGTTATTTCATCTGTAAGATACATGCTCAAGGGGATAAGGTATCATTCCAGCTATTAGGTTTCACTCTGATTTTTTGCAAACAGGTTTGAGGTCGACCTGATAATGCATCAAACGACAGTCCAGGACTCCAGGTAATTTGAGCGTCTAATAAGTTCTATCACTAGTGGGGGAGGGGGAAATATTCTACATTATATGTGCAAAGCCACCAGACAGCCACATTCATCAGCCCCCTCCCCACAAGCGTTTACACTGCGGCTGGATCTGCAGAAAAGCACCGCAGAGACGGGGAGCGGGGGAAAGCAACCTGCGGTACCTGTGCGTCCCAGATGCTTGGCGCAGCTTTCCTTGGAGAGCTCTTCTAAGGAGTAGGGTGCTCGTGGGTGCAGCTCGGAGATGCCCGGGGTCTGTCGCTTCTTAAGGGGGGGTATAAGGTGCTCCTCCCCAGCAACTTGACGGGAGTGCCACTTTCTGCCAACATTATATGCACCTCCTTGCATCCCGATTGGCCGAGCATCCTCCCGTCACGTGACAAAAGTGTGCGCAAAGCTTCCAGCTCCAAAGTAGTGACTAGCAGCTCCCTTCCCATCGCAACAACCGCTATGGTTTGCACTGGACAGGATCCCTGGAGAGCGCCAGGGATTCGCCTCCAAGCCGCAGCGCAGAGAGATATCAGTGCAAGAAGCAGGGGCTGTCCAGCGCTGGGGCCGCTGCGCCTGCTGTCGGAAGCGCAGGAGAAAGGGAGGTTGGCTCAGTCCATGCAAGAGCCCGACTCCTCCATCCTGCTTCTGGAAAGCCGGATCCCCCGGCCTCGGCTGTTGCTGGTTCTTGAGTTCACTAGCTCTGGGAAGTCTCTATTGGCAGAGGGGGAGGCGGTCGGGTCGGGTGGGTATCTCTGTGCCCGGGATCGTGAGGGCTTCAGGAGCTCAGCTCAGAGGGTTTCCCGAGAGTGCTGAATGCGCCTGGTGGCTTTGGTGCGCAAAATACCCAACCAGGCCTAACCCTCCACCCCAACAACCCTGTACAGCAACACACTAGCGTCCAGGACAGAGGCTGGCGCCAGCTGTGCCCTGTCATCTCTTCTATTGCCCGGCGCAGTCCTTCTGGGGGGAGGGGGGTGTCACTAGCCCCCCATGGCGAGGGGGTGCCATTCCAGCGGCTGTCACTGTGATCTGTGAGAGAAAGAGGTGGTGGTAACCTTCTTATTGGGCCAACTTCTGTTGGTGAAAGAGTCAAGCTTTGGAGCTTACACAGAGCTCTTCTTCGGGCGATCTCTGTGCAAACATCCTTCCCCTTAGCGCAGACAGCTTAGCGCTTCGCTTCTCGTCCTCCCTCGCCACTCGTCAGTGGCCATAGAAGTAGCCTCCTCCCCTGAAGTTACTGACCCCCCGTGGATAGGAGAAACCGCATTGTCCTTTGATTTATCTCCGAAGGGACGGAATATTCATACCATTGCAATTGTAAAGAACGGGACAGCCGGAATTGACCCGGGTTGCCTTTGGGGAGCGGGGAGGGTGCTGAGCAGAAAACCGACGTGAAAATGCCTTTTATTATTAGAAAAGCGGGGGTCTGATAGCCAGTCCCAAGGATTCCTAAAATCCCAAGTCTGGGACATAACCACTAATTAGCCACTGAACAGATTAAAGTCAGAGGCAGATCCGCATCCCGTGTGTTTCTATATGCGTCTGTAGCATGCCCAGGCGCAGACAGTAACCTTGGGAAGTAGGGTTCGTACTTGGAAAGTTTCATAGTGGGGGTATGGGAGGAAAGCCCCATTTACACACCTTCCTCCCTCCCCCATCTCACCCTGGAGGGGACCCGCTGCTCTGCTCCTCTTTCGTTTGCCCCAACACTGCGCCATTTCATCCCATGCTGCGGAATAGGGGTGTCATCCCTGATCACTGGGGAGCAAAGTTTCCCTGGCCCTGGAGAGAGGGTTCCAGGGAGTTGGGGGACCCGGGAAAGAGGGGGCCGGGCTGTGCGCCCAACGTAGGGGGTTAACGTTGTTCGGGCAGCAGCTTTCTGCCCCTGGGCCGGGCCAAGTTAAAGATTGGTGAGGTTCGCGTGAGAAGCGCTTTGGCTCCGTTTCACCACTTTCCCCGTGCAAACAAGCCAGCCGGGAGAGATTGGGGAGCAGAAGGGGAGGGGGCGCTGCAGGGGGATGAGGCGGTGGAGCAGGGGGAGGGGAGGTCACTGTTCCAAAGGCACCTTTTGCAACGTGGCAGGAGGGGCCATCGCGTGAGAAGGGAGCAAGGGCAGGGCAGATTAGCAGGAGCAGGGGACTGCACGAACGGGCAACCTGCGGGAAGCCCCCGAGCCCTGCGGGAAGCCCCCGAGCCCCACGGGAAGCTCCCAGCAGCCACAGCAGCCCTGATCAGGCGTGGGGGGGGGTGGTGGTGGAGGGAGAGACATGCTTGGTGGGCTTTGACTGACAGCACAGCCAGGTGCTGCTTCCACACTAGCCCGGTCTCTTTTAATTTGCAGTTAAATCGAGTGGACAATGAAAGAGAGAGAACCTACGGTCGGTGCCTCGGCAATATTGCCAGCTAATGCAGAGCCCGATCCGGGTCCCACTGAAGTCATTGGGTAAAAACACCCCTCGGGGGGCAGGATCTGGCCCACGGTGGATTCACTCCAAGTCCCCGCACCAAACCGGCTAAAGAGGGGAAGAGGCTGGAGAGTTGGGGGTGGGAGATGCTCTGCGCTAATGGAGAGTAGCCTGGCCGGCTGCCTTGAGAACCTGGTCCTGCTCCCTTTTAAGTCGATTGCAAAACTCCCTTGGCTTTCCGTGAAAGCAGGATCTGGCCCCTGGGCAGCAGGGCTGGGGTCCTGCCCCCATGACGGGTGCGGGCAGCCTAGAGGGAGGGATGAGCTGCCTTGACTCGCTCCCTGTCCCCCCGGGGTTGTGCTGGGGAGGGGACAAGGGGGCAGCCCTCTGATGCAGCCACTGGGCTTCGCGTGAGAAGGGGCCTCGGGTGAGTTAACTCTCCGGACAAACCTGTAACGCCCTGGTCACTCAGTCACGCTATGGGAGGGCTCTTAAAGGGACAGCGCCCTGTGTTCTTTATTCTCCCCAGTTGTTTGTCAATGGATGGCTTTGGGGCAGGATGCTGAAGGGGGCGGGAAGGGAGGGTTTTAAAGAGCTAAAGCATGTTGGCATGCAGATCCAGGTGCTCACAAGAAAACAGCGGGGAGGGGGGCGGGGGCGGGAGGAGGGGGGAGTGTTTACAGTCCCTGTGTATCAATATCCTGTCAATACCCCTTGAGCTAATTTCCCGCACACACGCACCTGCCAAATCACACTCCAGCCATGACCCTTGATGGGGAACAATTACCCAATGCCCAAACTGCCGCTTAGCATGCAAGGAACATATAACCTGATGCCACTGCAGATAACCGCCACGCCACCCCCTAGGGGCTCGCTGGCTGTGCCAGGGATGAGACATAGACAAGCTGCAGCAGAACGAGCTCGGGCACCCTCTCCGGGCAGGAGGGACCAAGGGAGCCCTCCAGGGCTGCGCAGTCACTAAGGCAAAAAGGCCCAGCAGAAGCATTTGCTCCTTAAAGAGACAGGCGCAGGGTCCCAGGCTGAAAATTGGCTCAGGGTGAGGGTGTGTTCAGGTGCGTGAGGCTCCATTGAGGGTGCCTGTCACGCAAGGCTGATTCTTTGAACTTGTCCTCATTAACCCTGGCAGCCAGGAGCCACTCAGCTCTGTCTGGGCTTGGCAGAAGCTGTGAGCTGCAGCTAGCAGGAGGGAGGGGCTGATGCAGCTTTGGAGTGGAATTGGGGCAGTGTGGGGGCAGTTTATCTCATTCCCCCCCAAAGACCCCTATAAACTATTGCTCTCCCAGGCTGGAGAGCTGACCAGTCCTGGCTAATCAGCCTGGGGCCTTCAGAAACTGTGTCTCCTCCAGCAGCAGTTCTCAACCAGGGGTCTTGAGGGCCTGGCGGGGGCTGCAAGCAGGTTTCAGGGCATCCACCAAGCAGGGCAGGTGTTAGACTTGCTGGGGCCCAGGGCAGAAAGCCTAAGCCCTAGTGCTGAAGCCTGGGGCCCCACCACCACCCTGGGCTGAAGCTGAAGCCTGAGCAACTTAGCTTCACAGGGCCCCCTGTGGCATGAGACCCCAGGCAATTGCCCGGCTTGCTACCCCTAACACCGGCCCTGGCTTCTATATGCTGAAAAACAGTTGTGGCACAGGTGGGCCATGGAGTTTTGATGTTGGGGGGAGGGCCTCAGAAAGAAAAAGGTTGAATCCCTGTCCTCCAACACTTTACCTCCTGCAGAGGTTTTGTTCTTTAGAGCAAGTGTCATTAATTCAAAGTGTAGTGCTGACTGGCGTTGTGAGTAGTTAAAAACAGGACATAAAGCTACACGTCCAGACATCACCACCTGCAAACTCTCACACTGATGCCTATCTTTGTTCAGCAACAGTGAGTTCATCTCAGCCATTTCACACCTGCATGAATCACAATTTATTTGTACAGTGACAACAGTTTGCTCCCTGAGTTAGGGACAGGTATGGAAACAAGATCTCTGATTCAAAGAGCTTTGCCATCTGAATGCAGCAACCCACTCAAATATTTTTAGCTAAGCAAGACACACAGATATTTGTGCCTGTACAAGTGACTTCATCTGCCATCAGTTAGTATGACTACTATGGAGTGTAATAGCTAGCTTATATATTTGCTATGAATCCCACATTTGAATAACATTACATTTAGAATACGGACACACAACAATTTCTGTAACTGTATCGACATATCACTACTAAATGCAGGAAGTGCATAATAGCATTTGAGTTTCAAACACATACAGCCATATAGACCATGCAGAACACAGGCATGTAGCCTTATCTGATCATCTTGATCCCATGAGGCAGTATACAGTAAAAGACAATGAATGCACCAAAACAAAACAAACAAAAAGGAGAGAGATGTACTTTCTAAAATACAATCTACAATCCATTAGTTTGTTACATGTATGCTGCATATAAAATGGAGCATTTAGAAGTTACAGCTGCAAAATTCAAGTTTAAGATTGACTTGAGGGCTAAGGTCTAGATCTGTCTTTAAAAACCATGTAAGTATTGGCTGAGAAAATGGATGCATTTTTGGGTCAGTTAATCCAAGCAGGATCCAGAAGTGGCTCACATTTTTCCCAAACAGACTGATCTATTTGTTATAATACAGCTGAAAGTGCTAAACCAGATAAACTGTTTTCAACCATGGCTGTAGCCAGGGTGATTTAAGTGTCTATTGTGGCCAGGGAACTATTAAAAAAAAACACATTGGGGTCCTAACATGGTCTTAACATGGTTCTAACTCCATCTGGTATGATCTACTTCAACCACAAGTTGCTGGCCTAGAAGTAGGAATCACTAGAGGATGTTCTGTGGTCTGTGTCATGCAGGAGGTCAGATTAGAGGGTCATAATTGTCCCTTCTGGCCTTAAAATCTATGAACACATTGTAACCCTATTGAATATGAAGGCAAATATTATGCTTGTTTGGCCCTAAAATCCTATGTGCACATGGTTGCAAACCTCAGGTAGTTACAGTGCAAGTTCTAGTGTGGACAGGGTCTCTTCAGTCTTTTCTGCCCTTTGACTTAAAATTAACTTCATTCCTGAAAAAAAAACAGCAAGTGAACATAAAGGCTGATAAAACAGATAGAAGAAGCTGCTTTGCTCCACTTCCATTCTGGTTCACTTGCTTCTGGAGCTGAGTTTGGTTTTGTCTGTTTCTCTTATGTCATTCATTTGTAAAGTCACACAACCAATTAGTAACAGGAGAACTGATTATATGTATGTGCTGGGTTTCTCTGTACCTCAACCCAGAAACTATATTTGGGTTACATCCCACATCCCATGAACTATGTTATTATCTCATCCTCATCTTCCACAGGCCAAAGGGATTGTACTTCATGTGCAGAAACTTTTTCATACATTGTGCACATTCCTGGATTTTAAAAACATTTCCATATTGCACCTATTTACTACACTGCTGGGGGTTCTAAGGAATGATGATCACAACACTTAACGGGTTGATTAAGATCTGCTGACTCCTAACTCCAATGTGATGCATTCTTCAGAAAGACCTGGACATAAACAAGCGGGGGATGCAACTCTCGAAGGATGAAGTAGGCCAGAGATTCTCAAATTGTGGTCCGTGGACCACCAGTGGTCCACAAGCTCCATTCAGGTGGTCCATGGATAGTTCCCTCTAAGGTGTGCGCCTGGGCGGCTGTACATGAGACAATGAAGGGCCACCCACCTAATTATTGGAGCCACGCAGAGGGTGGGGGGAATTTGGGATGTGCAGGGCTGTGGCAGCCAGAGAAAGACGTGACTTTCCCCAGCTCCAGGGCTGCAGATGCCAGGGAGAGACAGCCCTCCTTCCCAGACCCAGCTCAGGGGCTGCCATGGCTGGGGAGAGAGGGCACATCCATTGCATTAGAAAGGTAAGACTACTGATATTAAAATATGAGTTGTGTGCTTTAATTATTTTTTTTTATATATAGCACTTTTATCCAAAGCACTTTTCAATACTTAGCTAATGATACAAACAACATTTGGAAAGATCATTAAGTGGTCTGCTGAGACCCTCAGCAACTTTCAGGTGGTCTGCGGAAAAAAAAGTTTGAGAACCACTGACCT